AAACTCCAGATGTTTATAGAGTAAGGTAGTGTTTTGATTGCATCCCTCTGGATGGCCAGTGTCTGGTCCTGGGGAGTTTGGAAAGGACAAGAGACAAGGGAGAACAAATGTTCTACCCCAAGAAGAAGATATCTTCTAGGACCTCTCAAATCTTCACCAGTAACTTCACTCCTGGAACCTGGACCACAGGGGGAAAATAGTTGGTTACTTTGTAGATATTCAAGAAAGAACCAAAAAATTGAAAAACAAATTAAAATTCCAAAACATACTTAAATGCTTAAGTTAAAAAAGAGAGGGAAAAACTGGGTGTGGTGGCTTATGACTATAATCCCAGTGGCTGGCAAAGCTGAGACAGGAGGATTATGAGTTAAAAGCCAGCCTCAGCAATGGTGAGGTGCTCAGTAACTCAGTGAGACCCTGTCTCTAAATAAAAAATAAAATACAGCTGGGGATGTGGCTCAGTGGTCGAGTACCCCTGAGTTCAATCCCCAGTACCCGCCCCCCAAAAAAACGGCGGGGGAGAGAGGGAGGGAAAACTGGCACACTAATTTATAAACTATTAGTTTGGAAGAAAATCATTTAATTGTCAGGTGTGGTGGTGCATGCCTATAATCCCAGAAGTTCAGGAGGCTGAGGCAGAGGATCACGAGTTCAAAGCTAGCCTCAGCAAAAGCAAAGTGCTAAGCAACTCAGTAAGATCCTGTCTCTAAATTAAAAAAATACAAAATAGGGCTGGGGATGTGGCTCAGTAATAGAACGCCCCTGAGTTCAATCCCTGGTACCTCCCCCCAAAAAAGAATTTAAATAACCATTTTATAATTTAAAATTTGTGTTTAATTCTATTCAAGGAATTAAAATACTTGCTCTAATATTCCTCAAAGCCTTCCCTAAAAAGGACAGCAAGGTGTATAAGGACCTTGTTTTAAGGATTCACAGAAGGCAGACTCCTGTGGCAAGCATCTGAACTTGCCCAGTCACAGTCCCCAAGCACAGACACTCTTCTGAGCAGTGTCACCTGCTGAATTCAAGGGACTTCTGTATAACTACCCATATTAACTATGAGGAAATAATCTACTTTACAAGTTCTTTATCAAGCTTCAAAGAATTTGGCTTGAAACCACTCCAGTGGTTAGATGAGGACTCTGAAGCCAGTTCTGGATTTCCCACCTGTCTGGCAGGGCCCTTCCCTCCCTCAGCACTTGTGTCACACATGCCTGTGATGCTGACTTGTACCCTACACTGACAGGCAGGAGGAAAAACTAAGGAGTTGAACTCAAGTACCTGTCCTGACTTACTGCTTATTGTTTAAGATAAGGAGACTAAAACTTCTCATTCTGAAACACCAACTTAAGCATTTGTATAAAAGGTATCCTAAGAAAGAAAAACATGGCCAAAAAATACACTCTGTTCCCTTGGTTTTCTGTAAAGCACCGTCTCACTCAACACTGACCCATCAACAGGACGGCCATCTGTGTGCCCACTCAGCAGTACGGGGTGCAAGGCAGAGCACCCCACTGCAGCCCTGGGGAGGGAGCCTAGGAGGAGGAGGACGGGAGTCCTGGGAGAGGGAACTGAAGCTAATGGGTCAATTCTAGAGATACCACAAGGCAGCTAACCTTCTTATCAGGCCACAGCAGAATAAGACTTTATAAACAGTCAAAGCTGCAGTTTCTGGAAGGCTCCTCCAAAACTGTGGTCAAAGAAATACACATTAAATATGCTTTCAATTTTATTTTTTGAGACTAACACTCTGGCATTATAAATTCATACAACCCTTTAGAAGGGCCTCTTGACCACCTACCCCAGAACATTTTAGGTCCTGGACTTTTATGCTTGCTACCAAAACAACTCTATCACCTAATTCAGAAGCTCAAGATGTGCTTTTTTTCCTCCTTCCCTAAGATTTTGGAACTACAAATCAGATCTGAAATAAAATGCACTTCGGGCTATTAAGCCTCCCATGAACATGCTGCTCAATCATAGTCAAGCCTTTAGACAAAAGCTAAGTCAACTAAATGAGTTTAGTCTCTGGCTCAGAGCATGATCAATAGTCATTTCTATTTGGAGTTTTAGCCTTAAAAAAAAAATTAATGTTCCCACTTTACTATGAACCTCAGCCTTCAGGATCGAATACCACTCATCCTATCCCCACAGGCTTTAGCTTGCCCTGGGAAATTTAAACAAAAGCAACTCCTTTCCCACGGGGATTCTACTTCTCTGACTTATTTTCCATTTCAAACTCACCTCTGAACTTAGCCAGAACAGCAGCTCAACTTTCCCTGAAGACAGCTCGCTTCAGGCTTCCTAAAGCAAGTACTAGAGTTTCTGCTCTGAAATCTGTAGGGGCGAGAGGAAGATGGGAGGCCAAGGAGATCCACAACCTTTAGTCATCAGTGGGGTCAGGTGTAGCTCAGTGATAGAGCACACGGTTAGCATGTGTGAGGCCCTGCCAACAACTCTATCACCTAATCAGAAGCTCAAGATGTACTTTTCCCCCCCTTCCCATGCCCAGCACCAAAAAAAAAAAAAAAAACTATCTATAGTCATTGTAAACTAATAATATTCAAGAGGTCATCTCTAAAAAGTATCTGAGGACATCAAGATGGCTCCTGTTCCAGTTTAGATAAGGAGGAGGAGTTCCATCATTTTAATGAAAGGAAACAACAACACAGGGTAGGAAATGTTCAGCCCAATGTTCTCAGTAGCAGAGCCAGTCTGTGTGAGGCGCTTCTTTGTGCTTACTTCTGGGCTGCAGTCACAGACTCCCTGGCCCTCTGGATGGCTTTAACCTTGTTTACTTTGTCAAACAGCTTTTCCCTATTTGGCATCAAGTCCCAAACACACACACACACACACACACACACACACACACACACACACACACACACACCCCTCTACCTCTCAGAGGCCAAATTAGCAGCAACATAGAGTTAGAACTCATCACATGGTTACCTGTAATAGAATTCACCTTGTAACAGAATTCACCTAAAATACAAACATCGACATGAGACTTCACCTCTCAGAGGGCCTGTTTAAAATCCATCTATGGAAAAGAACACTTGCCTTGGTCTGGCAGGCTGAGTCTTACAAGGGCATCCCCTTACCCCCCTTTCCATCATAACTGCAATGTTTTCCATCAGTTTCCATAATGAGGGTTTGGAGAGTGACCCCTCAGAAGGTTTTCTCTTGAGGCCATGGTATCCATAATTCTTGGCTCTACCTGCACTACCAACTATCGCCTACCCCCACCATACCTCCCTGGCTACACTGCAGGGTCCCCAGCACAAGGTGGACTGAGCTGCTTACCCTCAGGCATGAGTTTGTAGATACCAGAACCCCCCACTCAGGGGTGTTCTTAACTGGCTTCAGTGCCAGTTGCCACTAGAGATTTCTCTCCTGATCACCCCTTTGGTACCAAGATAGCTACTAAGTCACACATGTCTCCTTGTTATCTGGGGATCTGCAATTTTCCTGTACACTTTTCACTTCTGTCTCCTTAATATACAGTCTGAAGTCCTCATCACCAGACTTGCAAGACTCCCAGAAAACACCTCACCATGGTCTTGTCTGGTTATCAGAGGTTCTGGTCTCAGCAACTAGTCCCTTCCTTGGAAAAGGACACTATTTAGGAAACCAGCTAGTGACATCTCAACCTAATTTTCTCTTTCAGAGTCATAATCACAAAAGCTGTTGGAGAATTTATCCACCATCTTTGCCTACAGTCCTTCAATCTCCTATGCATAACTTCAAAGTTCAAGAGAAGATCGTTTCTCCTATCTCCCTACCACATGGCTGTGGGGCCTGAGCAAAACAGCAAGTCTCCCTAGCTGTAGTGCCAGAGCTAAACATGGCTGCTCCTTCTCTCCAACAGGGAATGTGTCCCAATAGCAGGAGGCCTCTTGTCCCCCAGGTGCAACAAGAATTCCCTGCTATTACTGCCCCTTTTACTTTTATTTTTTAGTTGTAGATGGACACAATTCCTTTATTTTATTTATTTTTATATGGTGCTGAGGATCAAACTCAGTGCCTCACCTATGCTAGGCAAGTGCTCTACCACTGAGTCACAACTCCAGCCCCGGGGACCCCTTTTTAGAGTCTACCTAGTATAAATTTTAGTACACAAGGGACTACAATCAAATGCTTGCCAAACACCCCCAGGTGAAGCACTCGGGTTTGCTGCTGGGAACAAGGGAGGTGGGTAAAAGGCAGGAGAGAAGTACAAATATGAGCAATACAGAATCCACTGCTAGGAAGGTGACTACATCTGGATCCTGACCATGGGCTGTACACAGAAGACTACGATCTTGACCTTGAGATCTCAAATTAGAGCCCATGCTTAAGAGAGTTGCCTCCTAAGGCTGGGTGTAGAAAGCTCATCCAGGTAAGAGGGCCATCCTCAAATTCCATCCTTTCACCATGGCAGGCAAATGCCTTCTAAGTCTAGGATAAAGGTGTATAAAATGTTTCCTCAGGCCTGTTTTTGTAAGGTACTTCCTCCCCAAACACTGGATAGCTCTACAGTGGATCTCTATGGACCCTTCCCACCTCCCACTTCCCCTCCTGGGTTATTCTACTCTAAAAATTACTCAACTTCTACAGTAATCCCAAGTTAAAAAAAATACTCAAGTTTTTCCTTGTTTTCTAGCACACCTGAACACACTCATTCATTCTCCAACAAACATTCTGCAAGCACAGGCACTGCTAGGTTGTAGGTACGTAATGATGAACAAAATGAACACGGGCCAGCCCTCCTGGAGGAAGGGGAAAGAGCAGAGATCTACCAAAGGACATGAATAACAGACAGTTTATCAGTTTGCTGCAAATGGCAAGAAGAGAAAAGGAGGGAAGTCAGGAGATGGAACCATGTCAAGCACAGGGTTCAATTCCTGAAAGGTCTAGCTCCCTCCCAGCTGGGGATAGGGACAAAGGTTGCCAGTAAGCCTGGAATGTAATAAGCCAATGAAGAGACAGTCCAGGCTAAAAAAGGCAGGAGGGCTGGATCACATGTTCAGAAATATGTTTAGAATGTGGATCTTTCCCAGGAGCAACAAGAAGCCTTCATAGGGTTTGAGGGAGGATAGGAATACTTCACAGACCACTCTGCCTGAACACAGGGAGTAGATTACAAAGGAGCAGAAGGAGATGTAGGCAGGTTAGTGAGGGGCTGCTGCAGTCTGCCAAGCAAAAAAGATGGTTGTCTGAACTAGAGTGGTGGCAATGAAGCCGGAGAGAAGAGAACCATTCCAGAGATGTTTACAAGATCAAGATCTGCAGCATTTGGCAAAGAAATGGGTAAGAGCGAGGTGGGTGCAGGATGGAAGTCTAGCTTGTGCCTGTCTGAAGTGAGGAGAAATGTCAATGACCCCAAGCAGAAAGAACGGCTGTGCAAAGTTTGCAGCTCACTAGGACACTTCCTGTGGCACCTGTTATCCAGAATTTCTAGATAAATCTAAAGCCCTTCTTCTTACTTACTATAACTATCATCCATTCTAAACACCCATTTATCAAGCATCTACTATGCACTGGGGATAAATAAGTGATCAAAAAGCCTGTGCCCTCTGCAGCTGTCACCTCCAAGGCCCTGGGTGCTGCCCTACAGTGGCAGTGGACACAACTTCCAAGGCTGGCGGTTGTCCTGCCTCCTGAAACCTTCAGGTGAGCCACTTAACCCATTCCTTTCTACCTCTTAAGACACTGAGCAGTGAACAAGCAGCACAGAACTTAGAGTTCAGAGACTTACTCCTCTTCTCATGAGATCTTGTGCCCAAGACACCACAGCATCAAATCTAACCTGAATCACTGAGACCTGCAGCTCCCTAATAGGAAGTTTTTCCTTCTCTCACAAAATCAAACTTCTTTTCTCTAAGATGTTCTGAGCTTGGGAACTACATATGATTTGTACTCTCTCATTTGTTGCCCAAATTAGTTTGTGCTGGATTCTATCCTATCATTGAGACTGGTGATTTTAAACCCTGGGGCTGCACTGCCAGTATGGAGCTATTTAAATTAAAATTAGATAAAATTAAAGGTTTGGTTTCTTAGTGACACTGCTGTCTTTCAAATGTTCAACAGTGGCACTCAAAAAGTGGCTACCGCATTGGAGAGCACCAATCTAGAACATCAACATCATAGAAAGGTCTGTCCGGCAAAGACCCACAGGAGCACTGCTACTGGATTCTTTGCATGTTTAGTTTGAATTTCCCCTTTAAAAAATGAAAATAAACAAAAATTTAAAATATAGAGACTTTCAAAATTATTTACTTGTGTCTTATTTGCTTTTATAAGTGAACATTATAAATTGTGCTTCAATATATATAACTAAAACAATCTGTTTCATAGCTTTGTGTAAAATCTATTTGAAATAACCTGCGCTTTGGCAAGAAGGGGGCCATAATTTTATGAGCCACTATAGACACAGAATTATTTTTATAAATGTACCTTACACACTGTCCACAATGGTTAATACTCCATGTTTAATAAACTGATCATCTTGAGAGTGCTCTTAATTTTTTATGCCTACTTTTCACAAGCAAGTCTGTAAGAAGCTTCCAAGAAATGCTCATTTCAGATTCTAAATATCAATGACCTAACACACACAGCCTTATAATTATACAGGATGCAGGACTTTTTTTTTCCTTCATGATAATTTCTATCATATGATTTTTTTCAATCCAAAGACACTTTTATACTGTGACAGAAAATCCACCAAAATGCTTCAGTGTGAAGCTATCTTCAGTACTAGGAGAATGTTGATAATTATTAAAACCAAGTGACAGATGCATGGGATCCATTATATTATTTCTACTTTTGTATATTATTTTCTAGAATAGAAGACTTAAAACTAATGCAACTATATACAAATTTTACCAGGCTTAATAAATACTTTGCAAGATAATTTAAATACTATTCTACTGACTATCCAAGCCAGACCAAAGAACCAAAGACTCTGACCTGCTTTATAATCTCCCTATAAAATCCCAGGGGAGCTGTCTCTCTGAATGTGAAAATACCACATCAAATCTTGTCAGAGATGGAGCTCAAGCAGGTATCACACACAGCAACTCAGAGCTGTCACACTTAATGACCTGGTAATAAGGCCATTAGCCTCTGATTCCTCTTAAGGGGGGGGGGGGAAGAGGCTAAAATCTACCTCCCAAACACTAAAGCAGACAACTATAGGCAGAGGCAGAGGCACAATGGCTTCAAGTCCATCCAAATCCATATTGAACACTGCACCCGCTGTAGAGGCTCCTACAGGTGGGGCAAGTTCTCCCATGAGCAGGTGCACTGCAGAAAGCTGCCTGGAGGCCTTCCAGGAGATTGGGCAGTCCTCCTTCTCCTCCCTTCAGCCCTGTGGTTACTCCAAACTTTGAATGATGAGAAGCCCACCCATTCTAGGTCAAGTTCCCCCCACAGTCCTGAGAGTCAGCAAATCCTTACTCATAGCCCTGTCTGTCACACCAGGTACTGCTCTTAGGGCTCTTTCACAGCCACTTGGAAGTAGCAAATTGAAGCACAAGAGGTTAAGAAACTTTCTAAGGATCCTCCAATGGTGACCAGCTCCTGGGCCCCTGCCTGACCCCCAGTGCACTGCCCTTTCCCATCTTCTCCTCTCTGGCCCCCTCAATGCAGTCACCCACTCACATGTTGTTCGTTCGTGTGTTTTCACTCGCGCTCTCTCTCTCTCTCTCTCTCGTTGTATATGGACACAATGCCTTCACTTTATGCTAGGCAAACACTTAACCACTGAGTTACATATAGCCCCAGAACCATTGCTTCCTCTCTTGCAATACTCTTCCCAGCATTCCCAGCTGTGGGCTCCTTCCCTTTACCTTTTCTCAGTGCCCTGTTGTTTTTCTCCAGAGGAAGATTTTACACTCACTACAATATCATATGTACAGTGCATGTAAAGCTCTGTTGACTTGTTTATTGTCTAGACTAGATAAGGTGCCAAGTGCAGTCAGGGGCCACATCTGTTTTGCTGCCTGTCAGATTTCCAAACCAAGCACAGTGCTTGGCCCCAGGAGAAACTCAAATGCTTGGTGACTGACAACCATTGTTCAGTCAGTTCTTTCAGTAGAAAAAAAATTTAAATTCTCTCTTAGTCCCAAAAGATAAATTCCATCTTTAGGAATACTGCTTAAAAAACAGCATTAGTTTAGGAAAGGACTGAAAATTGGATAAGAGAACAAGGCAGCTTATGTCAGCTTTAAATAACAAGAGAAAGGAAACTTACAAAATGCAAACTGTGACTCTGAAAGGTGTTTTCAGGTACAATCCAAAGGGTGGGTTTTGATCTCAAGTCCTAAATAAGCTTATGACTGAAGACAGTGCCTCTTGCCCTGTGCCATTCTCAGCTGTTAGAATAAGCTGGGGAGATCCTCAATGTCTCAGTTCCCATAATCTTCTTAGGGGAAAACCTTGAGCCAATATTCCAGGCAAATCCAACAGGCAAAGGTTACCTAGCCATTTCAAAGCCCACCCAGGTTTCCCATTGTGTGAGCTTCCATACAGAAAGGTCAGATTCTTCCCTCAATAGTCCCATTTATGCTCACAGTGACAGTGCAATGGCTTTTGTTCAACAAAGAAAAACCTCTCTTTTCAAGGACTTAAGTCCCCTGCAACTCCCACATGAATTATTCTTTAGGTTTAACAAAGTTCCCCCAATTCACAGAAATCCTGAGGGAGAACTTAGAATTTAAACAGTTGTTAGTACATAATAACAGGAATCTGTGATTTCAAAGCAGGAGAATCTTATTTTTAACCTGGGAAAGCTCCCAGGGTACACGGCTTGAGAGGACTCCAAAATGAGGCAAGACCCACCTGAAGCAACCAGAGAAGTCAAATGAGAGCAATAGAAGCCTGGGTTCTAATCCCAGCTATAAGCTCTTGAACTTGAATGTGATCTTAGCCATGTTATTTAACCTCTCAAAATCTGTTTCTCATCTTAGAATTCATAACAGTATCTACTACTCATAGGATTTTGTGAAGTTTAAAAGAACAGCAAGGGGCACACAGTAATTCTCCCTAAATGCCAGCTAACACACTGCTCTTACCTGCTTGGTGTTTCCTGCTTTGCAAAGCATTATCCACACATCCAAATGAGACTTCGAAAATTCTAAATTTCCTTTCATTCATTTCATATCTCAGAGCCTGCAACTCATACACTCATATATTCTATGAGATTGTGTTAGAGGCAGGTAACTAAGAAGGGGTCCTCATTTGAGAAGAGAGCTCCTCTAAGGCCCCGAGTGGTAAAGTGATGTGGCCAGGAACCTGGGATAACAGATGAAGTCACCAAGACTATCACCAAGCCTCTCAGCCCCACATCCAGTGCACTGTTCACCTCAGCCATGCCAGGCAAGGGCTTCTGTATTGTCAGACCTCCTAGCACCCTTCTCATTAAATGTCTCATGGACATTTCCTGCATTGTAATTAAGCACTATAAAGGAGTTTGAGAAGGAGCAACATAGAATCTTGTACATAACCTTTAGCAGCTTTAAAACTCACACGTAAGAATACTCATATTGGCTTAGGTTGCCCATCTTTTTATACCAGTTTTTATTTTATTTTTAACTTGGGATTTAAAGTTGACAAAGACCTTAATGAATAGGCAGAACAAAGGGAGTTGTGGTCCATGGCTCATTAGCTTCTGAAGTTAATGCTTCTCACAGGGACAAGTCAGCCAAAGGACAGAGCTCCAAGCAAATTGGAAACCGTTCCTGCAGCCCCAGATCATGGGGTACTGCCTGGGCTCTGAGTGGCAAAGCTTATGGGACTCTCTGTAGCTTCACCCAAGATCCACCTATCAGTTAACCATTCATTCTGTCATTTGACAACATCAACTGTTACTGGGTATCATGTATGCCAAGGACATGAGTGACCTCATTCAAGCCTCACAACTACCTATAAATAATGTACTACCTACTCCATCTAATCTAAAAACCACTGACTGTAAAACACACCATTATTTTATGCACCGAAAAATGAAGACACTGCCAACTACAACTCTAAGGTCCCACAGATGATATGTTTTGGGTTTTTGTTTTTGTTTTTGTTTTTTTTTAAATGTTAAAATGGTACAAATTGCACTGTTGCAAAAATGTGAATATTGTCCCACTTTAATGATAAATAAACTGAGATATAGAGAAAGTAACTTACTCAAAGTCACAAAAGGGTAAGTAGAACCATTGGGATTCAGAACCTAGAAGCCTAGTCACCTTTTCACAGTAGTAAACCCCTATTTTCCCAAGGGCATGTAATACTCAAAACTGCACATGGCAGAGCTGCTAACTTGTCTCCACCACAGCACAGAAACCCATTAACTGGGGCTAAGGTTGTGGCTCAGTGGTAGAGTACTTGCCTAGCACGTGTGATATATATATATATATATATATATATATATATATAGCTTTAAAAAAAAAAAAAGAAACCCATTAACTGGCAATTCTCTGAACGTCTCTGAACCTGACCTCTCATGTGTCTACTAGAGCCGACTCTATGCTACATTACTCGTCATAAACTCTATTCCTCTCTCAGGAAAAGAAATATGGTCAATGGAAAATATGGTCTGATTCTTGAGAATCAGAAAGTCCTAGATAGAAATTCCTGCTTGTCACTCTGGCAAGTTATTGAATCACTCTGCGCTTCAGTTTCCTCTTCTGTAAAGAGAGGCCATCATGGCCACCCTAAGAGGCTACTGCAGGATGGAGAAGACACACACAAATGGCAGGACATTGTAACTGGCAGAGCTAAAACTCAACAATGCCTTCTTTTTAATGCTAGTCACCTCTGCTTTGGGACAGAATCAAAGACAGAACATTCTCTGTAATCACAAGAGCTGCCAAGGGGGATACTCAGGAGATAATAAGGATAGACAGAAGACAGAAGACCCCAAGAGAAATTCAGGCAAAGAAATTAACTGGAAGTACCTGGAAAAAAGGGCCAGTGTTTTTTTAAAGGACTTTCCAACTTCTGAATAAATGAAATGACAGGCAAAGGGATTAAAAACAAAAACTAAAACAAATAGGCACTTACCATTAACACATCAGTCAACAGACATGAGGATGAATACAGTTTTATACCAATGTGACACACAAAACTGGTCTCTGGAGACTTAGTTTGCTACCAAAGTAATCTTTAAGAAGAATCAGTGAGAAGAATTGCTTCATTACTTTGTTTTTACATTAAATAATATTCTGTGCATTTC